GGATGGGGTGTCCATACTCAGAGCACTGTGAGGACACGTGTGGAGGGATCGTGTAGCGACAGTCCATGATCATAGTCAGTGTCTCACTGTCGTTGGCCTCCTGGAAGGGTGCATGGCCGCACACCAGCATGTACAGGATGACGCCCAAGCTCCAGATGTCTGTGAAAGGAGGGAAGAACAAACAGCTGTAACGGCATAACTCCTCTGTGAATCTTGAACTTAGGCCACCAGCACAGCAAAAGCAGGCAGAAGGAATGGGGCCCAGTAGGGCCAGGTTGAGGGCAAAAGCCTCAACCAGTGGGGTGGAGATGTCCCAGGTACACGTCTGGATCTATTTCCTGGCAGCCTCAGGCCCAGTCCTGGGGGCATGATGCACAGAGAGGTCAAAGGCTTGTGCACTAAACTGTGTGGAGACAGTGAGGGGCTCCCTGCCCTGGTCTCTATACAGCACTTCCATGCATGGCTTGAAGTTGCTGGGATAGAGACAGACATTCAAAAAGCCTGAGCCTGAATTGATTCCATTTTTGCAGGTTAGTCTAACCTGGCTTGGCTAAACCGGTTTGTAACTGTAAAGACATCCCCTTTGGACTGAAGAAATGCAGGCATATGCCTGCAGTGGCTCAGGCTAGAAGCAAGGGGGCGCTAGAGCAGCCCTCCCTTCCCTTCTACAGTGCTGAGCTGAGGTGGGGCATGGTCAGGCCCCTGCTCTGATTAGGGAGGAGTTCCCCCCACCTCACTATTCCTGACCAACCCAGCAGGGAGTTGATAACAGAGCATTTAGCACTCCATCAAAACAAATCAAATCAAATCAAATCAAAACAAAACAAAACAAAAGCTTCTCTCATTAGTTCAAGCTCTTCTTAAACAACCTTTTTTCAAGGAAGGAACAAAGGGACCAGCTGACCTATTGATTAGCTCCAAAAAGCCCTAAGCAGACACTGTCCTGTCTGCCTTACACATAGAAAGCTCTCAGCATTAGCTAGCATACCACATGCTGGCTACAGTCTGTGCTGTGGGAGAGGGGAGTGGGGAATCCCTGCTTGATCAGGAAGTGGTGAGGGAGGAGGGGGCATAGGGAAGTCAGTTAGACCCTGTTGTACCTGCTGTCTCTGCCGGAGCTCTAGCCAGGAAACAGGGGAGGGGTCAGCCCAGCTCTCTGGAGCAGAGAGCCCTGCCCAGGGCAGCAAAACATCTGAGATGCTGGGGGACTCTGGTTTAAGTTAAATTAGGAAGGGATCTGGGACATACATTGCATAAACCAGTTTGACCCAAATCCGTTAAGTCTACATTCAACCAGGTTTATCTCACACTGGTTTCAGCCACTTTCAAACTGGTTTATGTGCACTAAATGTCTGTTCTGTTACAAGTTTAAACCAGTTTCTGATGACTTAAACTGGTTTATGTGTAATGTCTGTCCCTAGCCATGATGCTCAGCTCATCAGCTCTCTTCAGCCCTTCCTGTGTCCTTGATCAACACATTGCTTGCACCCCAAACAGGACCTACCACATTAGAGGTGTGGTTGTGTTGACCCCAAATGTGCTCTCCACTCTGGCCTGTGTCCCCTGACTGTTTCTCAGACCTTTTAGAGATCATTTGACAATAAGGAGGTCACACTGTGGAAGCCCCTATGCCCCATAGCAGCCTCCCTCTCTGGCAGCCCCTAGCCCCCAGCTGGCCCAGAGATTCTTGAGCCAATCTGACTGTAAAAGTCATTTGAAAAGACGCCTTTCAGCAGAGTGGTTGCTGCAGGTTCCATCCTTGTCAGCTCACACCAGGCTGGACAGGTGCCCCTGGAAATATTGGCTAGAGCTTAATGAACTGACCTAGTGATCCCAGGGGGGGAACCCAATAATTTTGGAGACTGGTTTGGACCTGGATTGTGGTGCTGGGCCTGGACAAGAGCACAGCTCAGTTCTATTCCTATAGGGAGCTCATCTGCAGAGATTTTCCCTATCTCTGTACAAAAAAGGTTTATACAAATCCAAAATATTAAAGGAGGGAAGATGCATGTTGGAGGGAAGGTGATATCTCTGGAACCCGTTCACCAAGTGATATCAAACTTGCAGGGCAAACTCTCTCCATGCTTCTGATATGGTCCTTCAGTTTCTAAGGTCATCTGCCTAGGCACATCTGTTTTTCTACACAGCAAGATACCAGCCTTGAACAGAGATTGCAATGCAATGTTAGCTGTGGTGCAACTCCTAGTGCCCCATAGTAAAGGGCTGATTTTTAGGTTTGGGCAACTTTTTAAATATTTTATTTGACAACAAATGTAGATTCAACTGTATGAGATGACTGCCTAGTACAGTGGTGAGGGCACTGTCTTGAGAGGCGGGACAGCTGGGTTCTTGCTCCTGCTACATTTAGCATGTAAGTGCACCTTGCAAAGTGGAACAGCATCAACAAGAAACTGAGAGAACGCCCTCTTGAACAAAATAAAATCTCTAAGATCTAACCACCAAACAGTAATAAAACCAGCAGATAAAGGAGGAGCCATAGTCATCCTTAACTGTGAAGACTACATAACAGGAAGCCAACAGACAACTTTCTGACATCATGTACTATAAAGAACTACAAGAAGATCCTACTCCCCTTTTTACCTTGAAACTCAAAAATACCATCAAATCATTTCCATCAGAACTACAAGGAAAACTACAGACCTTGATCCCCACCACTACCTAACCAAGGGACTTTTTACATGTTCCCTAAAATCCACAAGCAAGGGAACCCTGGCAGACCTATAATATCCAACCATGGAACCCTAACTGAGGAAATCCAATGACTTGGATGAGGGCGTGGAGAGCACTCTCTCCAAAGTCACAGATGACACCAAATTATGGGGTAAAGTAAACACACTAGTGGGCAGGGAATGAAGCCAGATGGATCTGGACAGGTTGCAGAAGTGGGCAGAACAGAATAGGATGCAATTCAACAAGGACAAATGCAAAGTGCTACACCTAGGGAGAAAGAATCACCAACGCACTTACAGACTGGGGGAGGACCTTCTCAGCAGCACTGTAGCAGAAGGGGATCTCAGAGTCATAGTTGACTCCAGGATGGACATGAGTCATCAGTGTGATGAAGTGATCAGTAAAGCTAATCGTACTTTATCATGCATTAGCAGGTGCATCACAAATAGGTTCAGGGAGGTGATACTTCTCCTCTATGCCACACGGGTGAGGCCACAGCTGGAGTACTGTGTCCAGTTTTGGATGCCGTACTTCAAGAGGAATGTGGATAACCTTGAGAGGGTCCAGAGGAGGGCCACTCATATGGTTAGGGGCCTGCAGGAAAAGCCTTGCAAGGAAAGAGGGAGAGATTTGAAACTCTTCAGCCTCTGCAAGAGAAGGCTAAGAGGTGATCTTGTGGCAGTCTACAAATTCATCGCAGGGGGAGTACAGAAAGGGATAAGAGATGCTCTGTTTACCAGGGCACCCCGTGGAGTAACTAGAAATAATGACCACCAACTGCCGGAGAGCAGATTCAGATTAGACATCAGGAAGAACTTCTTCACAGTAAGGGTTGCCAGAATCTGGAATGGGCTTCCAAGGGAGGTGGTGCTCTCCCCTACCTTGGGGGTCTTTAAGAGGAGACTGAATAAGCACCTGGCTGGGGTCACTTGACCCCAGCGCTCTTTCCTGCTCGGGGCAGGGGGTTGGACTCAATGATCTGCTGAGGTCCCTTCCAACCCTACTATCTATGAATCTATGAAATATCAGGTTTTGCTGAATCAATCCTAAAACCACCTGTCATCCAAAGAGTGAGTTTTGTCCAAGACACTACAGACTTTCTACAGAACCTTAAAAACATAGACCACCTTCCCAACAACACCCTCCTAGCCCCCATGGATGTTACCAGTTTATAGACCAACATCTCACAACAGGATGGCATCCAGTCCTGCCTTAGATACCTACAAGAGCAAGATAACAACTCAGAATACAGACCCAAAGATGAACTGTATAAGGTCAGTAATATTCTCACACACAACAATTTCATTTTTAATAATTAACACTTCCTCCAGACCATGGGCACAGCTATGGGCACCAAAATGCCCCCACAGTATGCCAATCTTTTTATGAGCCACCTGGAAGAAGAATTCCTCAAGAACTGCACCATCAAACCCTTGCTATACTTAAGATATATCAATAGCATTATCATTTGGATTGAAAACCTGCAATCTCTTATTGAGTTTCATCAGAAATTCAACAATCATCATCCCTCCATCCAACTCTCTCTTGAATACTTCGGCACCAACATCTCCTTTTTAGACATGATGATCAGTATCCAGAATGGTAAAAATACAGACCATGTTATACAAGAAACCCACAAACCAACATACATACCTGCATAGAACCAGCAATTTCCCTAAACACACCAAGAAAGCTGTGATATACAGCCAAGGCCTCAGATACCACTGAATTTGCACTGGGAACACACGGGATTGCCACCGCACTAATCTTAAAAAGGCTTTCACTCAACAAGGACACTCATCCAGAGAGATAGATCACATGTTTGAAAGAGCCACTCAGATACCACGTGAAGAATTGCTGCAGTACAGAAGAAATCCCCCCCACAAATTGCACACACATGACATATCATCCCTCCTTCAAATCCATACAGAAAATCCTCAAACAATCGCAATCTATCCTAGAAGGAGACCCTATTCTTAAAGAGATCTTCCCAGAGCCACCCATCCTAGCCTTCAAACAAGAACCAAACCTTGCTAACCTCATCACCAGAAGCAAACTTCCTATGGCCCAGAACACACCGAATGGGTCCAAACCATGCCATAACAAAAGATGCAAAACCTGCCAACACACCTCCAGCCCCTAATAACTATGAAACTAGAAACCCTCCCTGTGCCGGAAGAAGGGTGTTTGTGCCCAAAAGCTTACTACACCCCACAACAGAACCATCAACATTCCCAGATCTTACAGTTGCACTTCCAGAAATGTAATATATCTCATCCAATGCACCAAATGCCCTGATGCAAATATACGTAGGAGAGACCAAACAACAACTGCATATCAGAATGAACGCACACCGGAAATCTATTAAAGACAAAGAATACCCAATTACCTGTGGTGGCACATTTCTCACAAGAAAACCACTTTCTCTCCAATCTCTCAGTTCTAATCCTTGAAGGAAACTTACAAAA